ACCGAAACCTAGGGAAAACACACGTTCCAAAATAGATTGCCAAAATCCGGATCGGGAAAAGAAAATCGTAACGTTGGAAACCTTGTAAAAGATTAGAATTTTCTTTTTTCCAGCACATTCAACGTTACGATTTTCTGTTCTGGATCCGCTTTTTTGGCAATCTACAATGGCCTCCCTGCATGCAGAACCCAAGGTATGTGCTCCGCACCCACTTTTCGGACAGAAATGTCCCACAACGCAAGAAATATGCTGTTACAGTGGCCTCCAACCGTGCAAAGGATGCTTTGGCTTTGCTGCCAGGGCCCCAAAAACCACGTCTGCTGCTTTGATTCTTCTCCGCGACTCCCAGCGTGTAACGGATGTTTTGGCTTTGCTGGCAGAGCTCCAAAAACCACGTACGACTTCCAGCGTGCAACGGATGCTTTGGCTTTGCTGTCAGAGCTCCAAAAACCACGTCTGCTACTGTCATTTCTCCGCGACTCCCATTGTGCAACGGATGCTTTGGCTTTGCCGGCAGAGCTTCAAAAACCACGTCTGCTACAGTCATGTCTCCGCGAGTCCCAGCGTGCAACGGATGCTTTGGCTTTGCTCCCAGGGCGTCTGCTGCTTTGATTTTCCCGCGAGTCCCAGAGTGCAAAGGATGCTTTCACTTTGCTGCCAGGACCTCAAAAAGCGCGTCTGCTGCTTTGATTTTCCCGCGCGTGCAACGGATGCTGTAGATTTGCTGCCAGGGCCTCAAAAAGCGCGTCTGCTGCTTTGATTTTCCCGCGAATAACAGCCTGCAACGGATGCTTCAGATTTGCTGCCAGGGCCTCAAAAAGCGCGTCTGCTGCTGTGATTTTCCCGCGAGTCCCAGCGTGCAACGGATGCTTTGGATTTGCTGCCAGGGCCTCAAACAGCGCGTATGCTGTTGATGTTTGGTGTTGTTGCCAGGGCCCCAAAAAACACGTCTGCTGCGTTGATTCTGCTTTGCGACTCCAAACGTGCGAAGGATGCTTGAGCTTTGCTGCCAGAGCACCAAAAAGCACGTCTGCTGCTTTGGCTTTGCTTCGCGGCTGCACACACGCGACGCATGCCTTCACGCTGCTTACAACGGTTAGCTTCGCTTCTTGACCCGGTTGTAGTCTTATAAAATATACAACAATACTTGCTAGCAGAGCCCAGAGCCCCCGAAACACTTCTGCTACTGCTGTCCGACCCCAATGGTACGAACCATGCTTTGACTATCTGCCACATCTCCAACAGCACTGTTCACGTCAGACAATACAAGACAAACGTGGCGTAATGCAGTGTCTCACCCTCTGTTTTTCACGGCAAGCTGCTTCGTGAGACACGGAGAACATGGGAGAACTTCAAAAGCTTTGCGAAGATTTCCGAAGAGTTGAGTCTTCAGCCGCCCCGTTTTTCTACTACAAGGCTCAGCAAATCTTCCTCCGATAAACGCTTCGCTGCTTGCTTCGCCTCAGCAACACTCATAGCATAGGACCGACAGGTGTACTACATGCGTTGATGCAACTTCCTCGCCTTACGGACACGCCGTTGCTCTGCCTTGACTTGCTTCATAACCCTTCTGGCTTCTGCCTGGAATGCAGAAGATTCAACACCAGGACAAGCGCGAAGACTTCACTAAGACAGAAGCCTTTGCAGCTTCACGTTCTTGCTTCAAACGCTGTAGGCGGGCTGACAAGCTTTCCTTTCAACTCTGTTTTTCGGTCACGGCTACCTCGACACACATTTCTGTCCAACAATGCACTCAAAAGAGCCTGCGGTAACTCGACTCGCTCCCTTACAGGAGGGTCGGAAGGAGCTGCTGCGGCTTCTTCTGACATTGCGTACCAAAAGTGCAGAAAGCGGAGCCAAAAAACTGCACCAAATCATAGGGGAGCTAAGAGGGCCTCTCCTG